TTCGGGATGGAAATCCAGTCCCCGGGCAGGGCTCCAGGCTCCTGTGGGTCACGTCGCGAAAAAATCACGACGTCGGAGGGCTGGGAACGCCTGTTCTGGCCCACCACGCTTCGGCGCGGCACGCTACATCCACTTCCCACTTCCGTACATTGCCTCAGGGCTTGCCCCCTAAGGCAATATACGGTCGGGAAGTTTTAACCTTTCAGTGTGCGTGCTGGCCAGTTTGTACGACTCCTGCCCACTCCTTGTCTCTGCCTCCTCCTCCTCCTCCTCCTCCTCCTCCTCCTCCCCTGCCTCCTCCTCCCCTGTGTCGTCTTCGTTGCTGGTCGGGGAACGCCGACTTCGGTAGTCTTCTCTTGCACGCGCCGCTGCACTGGTAACCCTGGTCACTTCGGGCTGTGAACCCGAGGTCCTTGTAGCCTCCGCACACCACTTTGGTTCCTTTCGCCGCTCGATGAACTTTCACTTGCTTCGGCTTCAAATGTTTCGCGTCCGAGAACGCTTCTCCGCGCGCCGCGCACGTCAGCTGCTTCGCGTCCGCCTCGGCTTTCCGTTTGCGATTCGCTACCTCCGCATTCCTCCGTCGCACCTCTTTCTCTCGTTCTCCCGCGCATGTCCGACAGAGCCTTTCCCCCGCAGCATTGTGCTTCTTCTGGGCTTCGGACAGGCCAGGCGCTCCTCCGATGCATGCTGCGTGGCAGCACTGCTGCGGCGGTTTGCAGTCCGAGAGCTCGTTGATTCATCGTCGCTTGGCTGGTGTGCTGACCACCGAGCAACAAAACTATGGCCTCGGGGCTTGCACTGCTTGCTGCGCGCGGGGCGCGGCCGACGGCGCCCCGGGAGGGCGAGGCCTCGTGCCAGACCTGCGCGTGCCGCCACAGGGCGCCAGGGCAGCACCGACGGCATGCATCGACGATCTCCAGATCCTCGGCGGCGAGCCCAGGGGGGAAGCGAGGAGGCGCGGCTGGGGTCAGCGCCGGCGATTGTCTGCGCGCCCCGTGCCGTGTGCACGACGCCTCGCGATTGTCACGCGAGGTGGCGCGGCCCATGGGTTGAGCCGCACACGGCCTTTGAGCCCCGAGAACCCCCCCCAAGGCAGCCCTAGACGGCCCATGAGGGCAGCCGCCGCCGCCGCCGCCATCGTCTTCGTCGTCGTCGTCGTCGTCGTCGTCGTCGTCGTCGTCGTCGTCGTCGCCGCCGCCGTCGTCGTCGTCGTCGTCATCGAGGTCCGAGGTGTTGGCAGTTTTTTCGCCCTCTTTGGGCCCCTGGGGGGCCCTCCTCGCCGCCCCGGCTGGGTCCCCCCCGAGATATTCTGGCCAGAACGCACCCCATGAAGCGTCGAGGGGGTCGCCGTCGGTGCCGAGCGTCAAATGTCTCGAGGTTCGAGGAGTTGAAGGCTGTTGGGCGCTTTTCAGTGGAGGAAGGGGCGCCCATACCTTCTACCCTTGCCTCGTTTTCCCTTTTTTTCGGCGTCCTCGGGGGCCCTCGAGGAGAGGTCCGGGGAGTAGCGGTATCGGTACCTTTTGGTTTCCCCAGTTTTTCTTGCCATATTTGAATGTGGAAATGCTTCTCGAGGCTTCCAGGGGCCTCGACCTCCACGGGCATCTGGGAAGCTACAGGCGACGTCCCTCCGGCTCTCGCCGCTCCCGCGGGAGGGGGCGGGGTTTTGTCGACCATGGAGGGCGTGAGGGCAGTTGGATTTCATGTGTGGCCAGCCAGGGCTTTGCGCATCCTCGTCGTCGTCGGGGGTCGGCTGGGCCTGGTGGGGGCCCCAGACAGGCCATGCAGATGCTGACGGCTCGCCTGAAGGATCCCGAGGAGCGGGGGTCGGAAAGCAGTACGCCGCCTCACCCCCCGCCCAACCCCTTTTTCCAAGGGAGGGGGAAGGTGGGTAGGAGGGGGGGAGAGTGAGGAGGAGGGGGGGAGCAGGCAGAGGAGGACGAGGAGGAGGACGAGGAGGAGGAGGAGGCGGAGGAGGAGGAGGAGGAGGAGGAGGAGGAGGAGGAGAAGAAAGGGATGGAGCAGGAAGAGGAGGAGGAGGAGGAGGAGGAGGAGGAGGAGGAGGAGGAGGAGGAGGAGAAGGAGGAGGGGTCAGTTCAACGATGCTCAGTCACAGCATGTGCTTGTGCGCCCCGTTTTCGCACATCCGCGTGGGCCGTGCCGGCGAGGAGGGCGTCCGCCTCCTGGCCGCCGAGTCCCTCGCCCGGGTGGCGGGCGGCGGGCGGCCTGGCGGCGCGCAGGAGCCAGGCGCGAGTCCGCGCGCCGGGCTTCGTGGTACTGTTTCCGGGCCCAGGGCCGTTAAACCTGGGCACGCGCAGAGGGGGCGTAAGGTTGCGCGTGAGCGCCGTCCTTTCCACGCGGTGTGCCACGTTGTCGGCCCACGTAAGCCACTGCGCAAGGTCGCCGTGTGCCATCGTGCGTAAGGTCCGCTTCTCTTCGCCGCTCGGATGACCCCAGCTTCTCCGGAGACGCGCAGGCGGCATCCAGAGCGCCCTTCACGAGGCCCAGAGGGCCCCAGAAGAGGCCCCCAGACCCAGACCCCGACGTCATGATTTGTCAGAGCCTCGACCCCCAGAGGTCTGGGCCCAATCCCCCGGACCGGTTTTTCGTCCTGAGTCGTGTTTTTCAAGCAGTGGCGAAGCGTCTTGGCTTGCCTATAGGCCCACCAAAGACTGTTCTAATATCCTTTTGTGGTCTACACGAACTGTTCTTAGACCATTTCTGGCTGAGACTGTCTAGTGTTGACGCATCGGCTTCCTGTTCTAAGAACATTGTTTCTGTTCTTAGAACATTTAGGGGTTCTAAGAACATCGCGTGGTAGGCCTACAGGAATGCCGGGACGGTCGGTCCCTGCTCAAGTTTTGACGGTCCCCGGGGCCCGGCGAGGGCCCCCAGAGGCTGAACATTTAGATTTTTTTTCGTGGCCCGAGGGGGGTCCGGGGAGGGCGCGCAAACCCGGGAGCACACCGTGGGCCAGGGCCACTTCTGGCAGCACCCGAGGGGGGCGGCACGGGAGGAGGAGGAGGAGGAGGAGGAGGAGGAGGAGGAGGAGGAGGAGGAGGAGGAGGAGGAGGAGGAGGAGGAGGAGGAGGAGGAGGAGGAGGAGGAGGAGGAGGAGGAGGAGGAGGAGGAGGAATGGAGCAGGAGGAGCAGGAAGGAGGAGGAGGAGGAGGAGGAGGAGGAGTGAGGAGGAGGAGGAGGAGGAGGAGGAGGAGGAGGAGGAGGAGGAGGAGGAGGAGGGGGTGGAGGGAGGGGTGTAGGAGGAGGAGGAGGAGGAGGAGGAGGATGGGGAGGAGGAGGAGGAGGAGGAAGGAAGGAGGAGGAGGAGGAGGATGGAGGAGGAGGAGGAGGAGGAGGAGGAGGAGGAGGAGGACAGGAGGAGGAGGACAGGATGAGCAGGAGCAGGAGGAGGAGGAGGAGGAGGAGGAGGAGGAGGAGGAGGAGGAGGTCGACGAGGCTCGGACAATCTGGTTGGATTCAGTCGGCGAATACTGAAGGGGCCCAGGGCCGCAACTTCGCCAGTGCGTTGGTTCCCCTCGACTGGGAGAGAGCTTGAGCAGATCTCTCACTTGAATCCGGTTGTACAGGGCTCCTCGGATTTTGGACTTGGACGGTCGAATGTCGGAGCTCATACACACCTTTGAAGCTGTCATGCAAGGTTGCCACTTTGCCACGTTGATGCTGCAGCTTGCTGCAACCTCTTCATGCGGTCAGTCGTGCCTTCCCAACCGTCGAGAAATGTATCGCGTTTGACGATTTTGGGTTGCACGTGTGTGGTCGGGAAGAGCACGTGATCAACAGTCTCGCTGGGGCCACCGAGCTTGTACATGCAGAGGTGGCCAAGCTTGATTTACGTGTCAAGGCTGCCAAGAGCGAGTTTGTCACCTCATCCGCCGAGTTGTGAGCCACGTTACAGGCTCGGCTAAGGCGTCTCTCGGTTCAGGGCGTTGCCACTGAACACAACCCAGGCTTTTTTGGGGGGGGAGGAAAGTTAACAGCTAGGCGAGTCAGGCACGAACGCGAGCCACCAGCGCGCGCCAGGCATGGCGAGCTGCTCTCGTTTGGTCGTCTATGGTTCAGTCGGCTGTGCTGTCTTTGGTGTTTTACGGGCATCAGGTCCTAGGCAGTAACAACACCGAGCTGCGCAAGGCACGGCACCAGCAGGTCTAGGTTGAAGCGGCAAGAGTTGACGGCCGCTCCGTCTCGTTCATTTTACAACTCTCGGATGTTGTCAAGGCTGATCCTGCTTTCAAGTTGTGCAAGGGCTCTTTGATGGCCCTGGCCTCCGCCGTTTGGGACTCCTGGATTCCTCTCTCCATCATTCGAGGTGGTCTCGAGGATGGTTGGCGCAGGCATTCTGAACATAGGTCTCCGTGGCAGTGCATTCGTGGTCCATTCGGTGCGTGTGTAGCTTCCGCCCTACGTCTGGGCATCATCATGTAAGGCCTCCAGTGGTCCCACCCGTTGTTGGGGTGGGGGGTGGAGAGGAGCTCCCCCTTGTCAAAATTAAAGGTCACGCGACACGTGCAGCCATTGATGCTGGCCAGGTTGTTTTTTTACACAAAGCAGGCACCGACCTGGTCGATACTTTTGCTAAGCAGGCCTCTGATTTCTCGCGTCTCCCGATCTCGCGTCGTGAGCAGCTCGATAGCAAGGCCGGAGTTTTGTCGGAGTGCGCGACCTGGGTGGCCAAGGTAGGACCCCCCATGGTCGCTGTCGACTCCCTTCATGTTGCACAGAGGCACGAGGCGAACCCCCGGGGCCCGACGTTCTCTGTCCTGCCGCCAGAGCCCCTCGTCAGTCCTCATAGTCTGCTTTCGGCTGATGTCGGGCACGCTCGGATTGCGATCTCTGGCGGCAGGCTCCACGTCGTGCATCCTGTCAAGCTGGCAGACGCAGGGCAGCGGTGCGTCGCGTGTGCTGCGTGCGGTGCGAGCGGGCCAGGTGCAGTGCCAGCGCTGTCCTCCTCCGGCCCTGGGCCCCCTCCCCCAGCCTCGTGGGGAGGTCGTGTTTTGCAGCGCAGGCCCAGGGAAGGCATCAACAACACGAGGCGTGGCCTCCCGTGGCGCAGGCCTGGGAGACGGCCCGCCTCCTGCGTGCAGGTGGTGCTGCCTCAGTCCCTCGCTGGGCCTCGGGGCCATCAAGAAGGGGCCCAGGGAGGAGAAGCCGGTCCCCGGAAAAAGGGGGCCCAGAGTTCTGAGGGTCACGCCATGAAGCCATCGCGACGTCGGGGGGTCCGGGTTCGGGGAGGGTGCCCTCGTGTTCTTCGTGTTTGTTGGATGTTCTTGTGCATTCTGAGGGGGGGCGCCCTCGAGCGTTCCTCAGTTTGTTCTGTGGAGGGTCTCGTGTTCTTGAAAGGGCGCTTTTCTGTCCTAGGTCCAGCCGGGACAACTCATAGGGGGCCGTGCGTGTCCTCGAAGTTCCGTTTTTGGAGTGCGCTCGTGCGCGCTAGTGTTTTGTAGTCGATGCGGGGGCGCTGATTTAGCGTCGATTGGCGTCGACTGGCGTCGGTTGGTCTTCTGCGCGCTGTCCAAAATGGGCGACTTTGGTTCTCGGGTCGCTGCCTGGGCCCCCAAACATCCGCCGATACGGTGGAAACCCATGCCAAGAAACACCCTGCTTGCCTCCAGGGTGCCCTGGGCTTCTTGGATCTCGATGGTTCTTCTATGGAAAGCGTGACGTTCCCACGCCAAAAATCAAGGGACGTCCTGGTGTTTCAGGGTTGGGCTTCTTGTGGAATGTTTCTTGTGGTCGAGTTCCTACTGTATGTTTTTTCAATCCGTGGCCCCAGAGGTCCCGACCCCTTCCCTAAAGGTTTTTTTATCGTCCCGGATGCATTTTTGATGCCGGGCTCGATGACGGGCCCTGGTGGCCGAAATCCAGGAACACCCGCCAGATGGAAAAAATAATCATATCTTCGGAACTCTGGGTCTCCAGCGGCCGTCCCCGACAATCCGAGTAACCCCCGAGATGCTCTTGGTGACGCGCAGTTGCTGCGGAGCATCCCGAGCATGGGAAGCCGCCGAGAATCAACGAACACGTTCTAAAAAGCTTTGGTGCTCGAGCCTCGAAACCGCCGCTCGTCGTTCGTCCTGAATCGTCGCGGCCGCGCGGCCGACGCGGCCGGCGAGCCGCTGCGGAGCGCTAGGCGACCCGCGGCGGCTGGCGCTCGAGGCGGCGGGCGAGCTGCTGGCGCATTGGCGCGGCGACGTGCGGCGCGCGGCCATCGTGGCGCTGGCGCAGCTGGTGAGGAATCGGGGGAGAAATGCTGACATTACACATGCCCCGACCCTTCCGCGTCGTGGAAAAAATCGTGACGGGAGGTTGTTCTTAATTTTCGGCCTCCACGGCCCTCGCTGGGCTTCGGGATTGCCAAAGAACGACCCAGGATGAATAGCCGGTGCCCCTGAAAGGGTCCAGACTCTTGGGGGTCACGTCGCGAACAATATCACGACGTCGGGGGTCTGGGCGTAGTGCTTAGGAGAACAAGGTGAGGGGGCGTTCACTCAATGTGCACGCCTGCCGTTTTCGCTTCCTCCTCCTTTTCTTCCTCTGCAGTCTGCCTTGTGTTGTTGCAGCATTTATTTGCCTTAGTGTCTCGCAACTTATTGCTTGTAGTACACACTGGCAGCCTGCATTGCACATGAGTCTGGGTTGCTCCATCGCCCGAGAAAGAACGTCAACACGGATAGTAAGGAAGTGCGATTTTCCAAGGTTGCCTTTGCATCTTCCCCCTTCGGCCCATCCCTGGCCACTTTCGCTGGCCGCGCCCTGCTCGAAACGTGTCGGCATGGCTTTAAAATGGCCCTTGCACTCTTATCGCGCATTCCTATCATACGGGTTGGCTGTAAACTTTCGGAGGTCCGCGCGGATTTCCTGGATCGGCGCTGGACCCCCCAGAAGTCCGCGCGCGCGGACCTCCGAACGTGTATGCGTACGCAGCTTTATCGAAGACGCCCACGGCGCATCCTTGCCGCGCCCTGCCTTTTGGGAAACGCCTCCAGCGTTGGGCCTCCGCTTGGCCTAGCTATCAGACTATGTGTTCCCCCAGCCGCTCTGGAAACTCTTGGGGGAACATGTGGGGGAGGATGAAAAGGGAGGATCAGGAGAGGGAGGAAGAGGAGGAGGAAAAGGAAGACTAGGAGGCGGAGGAGGCCGTTAGGGAGCTTCGTGGGCCACTCTTAGGGTCTCCTGGGAGCTTCCTGGGAGCCTCTTGGAGGTGTCTTGGGGGCCCTCTTGGGCCTCATGGGGGCCTTTCCCGTCTGACGCCGTCGGGAGCCGTCTTGGGGGCGCCTCTGAACCCACTTGGAGCCCTCTTGGGGTGCTTCATGGCCGTGTGGAGGCCATCTTGGGTGTTTTGGAGGCCCCTTGGGCCGTCTTGGGTCCTTCTTGGGGCCGTCTCGGGGGCGTTTTGGGCCGTCATGGGGCCATCTTGGAGGCTTCTGAGCGATCTTGGACCGTCTTGGGGGCTTCTTGGGCCGTCGGACGGCCGAAAAGAAGCAACTGCCAACATCTTTCAAACACCGAAGGGAAGTCAATGGTTTGGGCCTCTTCGGGCCTTCCTGGATGACCTCTTGGAGGCCTCTTGGGCCACCTTGGAGGTCTCTTGGGTGCCTCCTGGCCGTCTTTGGTCATCTTGGGCCGTCTTGGAGGCATCTTGGGCCGGCCGTCTTGGGCCGTCTGGGGTGCATCTTGGGACGTCTTGTGGGCATCGTGGGGCCATCTTAGCCGTCTTGGAGGCCATCTTGGCCGTCTTGGAGGCATCTTGGAGGCCATCTTGGGCCATCTTGGGTGTCTTAGAGGCCATTGGGCAACTTTTGTCGGCAGATTGTGCGGCCTTTTGGCTGGCCGGCACAATGGACGGAAGCCCCAGGGGGAGTTCTAGTGATTTTGAACCCAAACCAAAAACCGTAAGATAAATTCAGCACGTCAGGCACCCCTGTGGCACGACTGCAGTGGGCGGCCGATCGAAAACTCCCACGGCCAATCACCGCCACGCCCTGCCTTTCTGGAAGCGCTTATGTGGTCGGACGTTTGTTTAGAGCTCGCCAAGCTATCGGACCATGTGTTCCCTGGGTTGGTTTGGAAAGCCTTCGGGGAACACGTGGGCAATAATGAATACAAAGGGGAACTCGATCCGGTCTCATTTACCGTTCTTGGGGGCCTCGCTGCCTTTGTGAAAAGCGCCTCTGCGGCCAAACGATTTGTGCCAGAGCTCGGATAAGTTATCGGACCAGGTGTTCCTCGAGCCGCTGTGAAAGTCCTTTAGGGCACGCTTGGAGGAGCGTAAGTTGGAGTAGGATAAACAGAAAAAAAGGGGAGAGGGAGGAGGAGGAGAGCTCTTTGGAGACACTTGGGTCACTCTTGGGGCCTCGTGAGGCCTCTTCGGAGCTTCCTGAGGATGAGGTGACGGAGGAAAAGGAGGAGGAGGAGGTGGAGGAGGAGGAGGAGCAGGATAATGATAAGGAAATCTCTTGGGAATCGTTGTGATCATTCTGGGAGCTTCTTGGGAGCTTCCTGGGGGTCTCTTGAGATGTCTTTGGAGCCTCCTAGGGCCTCATGGGGGCCTTTGGGCCTTCTTGGGGTCATCTTTGACCGTCTTAGGGCGTTCCTGGCCCGTCTGACGCCGTCGGGCCCCCTCTTGGGGGCCTCTCTGAACCGACTTGGGGCCTTCTTGGAGTACTTCATGGCTGTTTGGAGACCATCTTGGGCATCGTGAAGGCCCCTCGGGCCCTCTTGGGGCGCTCTTGGGGTCGTCTCGGGGGCGTCTTGGGCCGTTATGGGACCATCTTGGAAGCCTCTTGGGCGATCTTGCGACGATCTTGGGGGCCAATTGGACCGTCTTGGGCTGTCGGCCAGCCGAAAAGAAGCAAATGCCAACATCTTTAACAAACCGTAGAGAAATCAATGTTTTTAGGCCATCAGGAGGCCAACATCATTGATTTCCTATAGGAAAACGTGCATTTTTAGAATGCAAGGCTTTTCGGCTTCCACGGCGTTGAAGACAGTCCAAGAGGCCCCCAAGACCGCCCCAAGACGGCCCCAGAGGCTCCCAAGAGGCCCCCAAAACGGCCCAAGAGGGCGCCAAGACGTCCCAAGAGGCGCCCAAGACAGCCCAAGAGGGCCCCAAGACGGCCCCAGAAGGGGGACCACGAACCCGAAAGTCTAGCCTTTCGCCCCAAGACGCTCCCAGGAGGCCCCCACAGACCCCCAAGAAGCCCCAAGAGGCCCCCAAGAGGCCCCCAAAGGGCCTCAAAAAGGGCCGCAATAGGAGTCCCAAGGAGGCTCAGAGAAGCCAAATAAAGAGCGATCGGTACCGCAAAATGCTCTTCACACCAAGGCTCCCAAGAGCGAACGGTGACGTAAACAAGCTGATAAAACCAAGGCTCCCAGCAGAGAGCGATGACGTAACAAGTACCTGACACCAAGGCCCAGCCAAGGCTCAGGAACGGGCGGCAACGCAACAATCTCTGAACACCACGGCTCCCAAGAGCGCGGGGTGACGTAACAAGCTCTCAACGCCAAGGCTCCCAGTACGAACGGTGGTGTGAGTAATTTCGGTCAAGTTGTTGAAGCGCTCTTTCCGTTTCTGTGCCGGCCCAGGTCTAATGGCCTTCGACACATCCCGCCACCGTGCCTGGGTTGTGGGTATGAAGCTCATTGGATGTTCGTTGGGATCTCGTGGGAGGCCTCTTGGGGGCCTCTTGGAGGCTTTTTGGACGCCTCTTGGGGGCCGTTTTGGGGCCTCTTGGGACCTCATTTGGACTTCGTGGGGGCCTCTATGGGTCTTGGTGGCCTCTTGGGTGCCTCGTGGGGCCTCCTGGGCGCCTCTTGGAGCCTACTAGGGGCCTCGTGGGGCTCGGACTTTCGGTTCGTGTTCCCTCTCTTGGGCCCCTTTTGGGGCCGTCTTGGGGCCCCCTTGGGCCATTTTGGGCGCCTCTTAGGCCGTCTTGAAGCCCTCTTGGGCCGTTTTGGGACCCTCTTGGGCCGTCTGGGAGCGTCGGGAAGCCGAAAAGGGGAGAACGCTCAAATCCTTCAAAAACCAAAGGAGAATCAATGATTTCGGCCTCTCGGGGTCCTCTTGGGACTGTGAGGCCGCTTTGGGCGTCTTGGAGGCCTCTTGGGCCGTCTGGGGGCCATCTTGAGCGTCTTGGAGCGATCGTTCGGCGACCCGGGGCCCTCTGGGAGCGTTTTGGGGGCTCTTGGGGCCCTTTTGGCCCGTCTTGGGGCCCTCTTGGGCCCGAGAAGCTTCCGCGGGAGCACTGCCCGAGCCCAGGGGGCACGCGAGAAACCCCGGTAGATTTGAGAATTTGGGGTCCGGGCCAGGAGGAGGAGGAGAAGGAGGAGGAGGAGGAGAAGCAGAAGGAGGAGGAGGAGTGAGCATCGAGGCTTCGAGGATTAGGCAACGGACCTGAGGACACGCCCACTCCGTGCCCAGCGGCACGATGGCGGATTTTTCACTCGAGCGACGGAACAACATCGGTGTCGCCTTCACCGACATTGGCGCGCAGGCTGCCCGCGTAAGGTCGCACGTGGGCGCCCTCGTTTCCGATGCAGCGCGCCGCGCTGGCGGCCCGCGTACGCCGCGAAAGGTCGCTGAACCATCTCGCGCAAGACCCGTGTCGCCTGTCTTCTGCCCCTTTTCCAGGGCTGGACCTACACGCTGTTTTGCTGGACTTCGGCTGTGTTTTGCTTTTCGTTTTGGCAGGGAAGGTACAGGAAAACAGGTCGAGCAAATCGAACAGCAAAGCGACAACAAAACGAGCAACAACGTTTAGGTCCAGCCCTTCCCCTTTCCCGACATGGTAGGAGTCTGGGCGATCTTCTTATGCTTCTCTTGATGCCACTCTCTGCTCCTCGAAGGAAGGGCGACGACTTCCTGATCGAGGCCCGGCGTCAGAGGAAGAGAGGAGGAGGCGTTCCGATGCCGCTGCTCGTCCTGGAGGGCCTCCTCGAGATTCGAGCAGGGCATCGACTGCAGAATTGATTTACCGCTTTTTTTCCGTCGGATCTGTGGAACAAGCACAGGATGCTTTGTAGACCGACCTATGGGGCACAGTGCGCATTTTTCCCGGATTCGACGCACAAGTCAGCTCTGGGGTGACTCGATTCTGTAGTCGACCTATTCGAGAGATGCTGGTCAGAATGCGCCCCGGGAGAGGCTCGGGTGGTGGCGGCGGTGGTGGTATCGGCACAGGTCTGCCCCCCTCCCCCTTGTTGCTCTGCTTCAGACACCCTCGCTGCTCAGAGTGATTTTGGCACTGGCATTCTGGTTGTTGCGCCCCCTTTTCCGAGGAAAAGTAATTGTATCGGCTGGCAGCGTGCACAAAGGGGTACGTGGGAGGGGGGAAGGCCTCTCAGAAGGACGCTGCTCCTTAGAAGGCGCGGGCCTTGTCTCTAGGTGTAGGGCCGGCGCCTTCTAAGAAGCAGCCTCCTCCTCAGTAGCCTTCCCCCCCTCTAACCCTCTCGTGCGCGCCGCCAGATGCCTGCTGGCGGGGGGCGTGCCAACATACACCGCCCGCCGCAGCGCGAGCCGAGCTGAAAAGCCACCTGGGGGGCCGCCTCGATCCTCCACTCGGGCCGAACGAATAGGGGGGAGAGGGAAAGGGGGGGTTACGAAATCTGCTGCATGCAGCTGGTTTCGGGCCCGCCGCCGGGCCCATTCCTCGATACATGGGCGCCTCCCGGCGCTGGGAGGCGCCGGGAAAATCAGCTACGTGAGCTGATTCTCAACGCCCCCCTTTGCTATCCCCCCCTGTCGCCTGGCCCGATCCACCTCGAGGCTTCGACCCTCGATCCTCGACCCTCGGCCCCTCGACCTGCGTCCCTCGGCCCTCAAAACTCGGTCCCGCGATCCTCGAGCCTCCATCCGCGAAGCTGCCCACCAGTGCGCTCCGCCGAATCGGCACAGCTCTGCCCCCCCCCCCGCTCCCCCCCCCGCGGAGGAGGAGGAGGAGGAGGAGAGGAGGAGGAGGAGGAGGAGGAGGAGGAGGAGGAGGAGGAGGAGGAGGAGGAGGAGGAGGAGGCGGAGCAGTGGCCAAGGCGTTTTTGAACAATGTGCGGGCACGCGAGGCAGAGTGAAGACCATCCCCCACACACCACCACGGCGCTCGCGACACTTGCCGCTTAGCGTCACCCAGATCAGATCGTTCTGCTGTGCGCTTGTTGATAATACACCCGCGCGACGCAGTACGGTGGGGGCGTGCGTTCGTTAAGGAATGTGCCCAGAAGGCTGTAGACCCTAGGTCATTCCTTCTCTTATGAGGGCGGCGGTGATATCCATGGTCGATCCACGATTGGAGTTCCACCGGTTTCCAGACCCTAGATTCTTCAACCAATGATCCCTGGTACAATGACCTCACCTTGAAGCCTGCGGCCTCGCGGGCGCACTTCCGCTCAGGTCTGCGCCGCATGTGCCGCCCTGGCCACCGGGCAGGTGCGCCCCCTGAGCCCAGGCGCGACTCTTGCCGCCGCCTTCTCACTCGGCGCCAGGCCAGGGCACACTCATCTGCGGCCAACCGCCTGGGCATGTCCTTCGACGCTCCCCTCACTGCCGTGCTGAGGGGCCTTCCGTCTGAGCTCTCATGTGCGCCCCCGACCAGCTCCTCTCAAAACCGGCCTCTGGATCCGCCCTGACCCTTTCGAGGGTCCATCCGGGCTAGTTTTTTGAGCTGCATCCAGCCATGGCGACGGGGGCTCCCCAAAGGCCCAAGCAGATGGTGGTGGTGGTGTTGGTGCTGGTGGTGATGGTGATGATGATGTGGATGACGATGACGATGACGATGATGATGATGGCGATGATGATGATGATGATGATGATGATGATGATGATGATGATGATGATGATGATGATGATGATGAGGATGAGGATGATGATTATGATGAGGATGAGGATGAGGACGAGGATGAGGATGAGGATGAGGATGAGGATGAGATGATGATGAGGATGAATATTAGGATGAGGATGAGGATGAGATGATGATGATGATGCTGCTGCTGCTCTGCTGATGTTGCTTGCTGATGGCTGCTGCTGACTGGATGACGATGATGATGATGATGATGGTGATGGATGATGATGAGGTGCTGCTGATGCGGATGATGATGTGATGCTGATGATGATGATGAATTGTGATGATGTTCTGATGATGATGCTTATTTTGATGCTGACTGATGATGGATGCGCGCTGATGATGATGATGATGATGCGGGGGGAGCTGATGATGATGATGGGATGAATGATGATGATGAATGCGTGGTTGGTGATGAGATAATGATGATGATTGCTGATGATGATGATGTCTGAGATGATGATGTTAGATGATGATGATGATGATGATGCTGATGATGATGATGATGATGTGATGATGTTGATGATGATGATGATGATGATGATGATGATGATGATGATGATGATGATGATGATGATGATGATGAGGATGAGGATGATGAGGATGATGATGAGGATGATGATGATGATGAGGAGGAGGAGCAGGAGAAGGAGGAGGAGGAGGATCGAGGAGGAGGAGGAGGAGCAGGCGGGAGTCCCTCCCGTTGCCAGGCCCTCTGTGGCTGTCTGACGTCCGAGGATGCCGAGGTGGCCGAGTCCGCCCTCGAGGCTCATGGGCTATGTGGAAGTGTGGGCCAAGCGGCACGAAGCTCTGTGCCCGAGCCGCCGCTGCCCTGATTGAGGCGGTGGCTGGCGTCTTCCCTGTTCGCAGGAGGACCACGTGCCACGCTCTCACCACCTTTAGCGCTTCGGAAGAGGCCTCGCCTTCGAGGGATCGCTGCGGCCGGCGCCTGCTTCGCGGCGGAAGGCGGCCGACGGCCGGCGGAACACGGCGGACGCACAACTGCGACGGGCCCACCGGCGGAAGTCCAGCGGACGCCCGCGGGAGCAAAGCCTGGTCTAAAACAGAGAGGTGCTTGCGTTGTCTTCTTGGTGGGTCGGGGTTCTATCGCCGCCCACCCGGTGCAGTGCCGAGGGGGAGGTGCGGCCACGCTGGTGCGATCAGAGCCCTCCTCCGCCTCAGACACAAGCCTGGTCAGACGGGCGAGGATGGGGAGGAGGAGGAGGAGGAGGAGGAGGAGGAGGAGGAGGAGGAGGAGGAGGAGGAGGAGGAGGAGGAGGAGAAGGATGGAAGGAGAGTGGGACGAGGAGACGAGATGGGTGAGGATAAGGATGAGGAGACGGACGATTATGCTGCTGAGGATGAGGATGAGGATGCGGATGAGTTTCGAGTTGAATTCTGGTTAACGAATAATTATTTTTGATCCCAGCTCGGTGACCATTCTGTTATTCTATTGAAGTGCTCCTCCCGGGGCTCGCACACTGTTTCCAACATGGAAAATCTGGGATCACCAAAGTTGGATGTTGGCCCCCGGCTTACAATATCAACAGCGGTAACCGCTTTATACTTCCTCACGTGTTATTTCAAAATCGCGCTCGCGCTCTGCGGGACTTCTTCACACTTTATTCAGGAATCGCGATCTCGCGTGGGGCTTCCTCGCAATCTGTTGAAACGCCGCGCCCTCGACACTCAGGAATCGCGCTCTCAATTTGGCTTTTCTCACGATTTTCTTGGGAATCGCGCTATCGCCCAAAAACTCCTCGCGATTCATGCATGACTCACGCTTCAGCAAACTGCCTGCTTGATCTGGCCGCCTGGGCCCGCCTTCCCGACCCGCCAGCTAGGGTCTACCCGCCCGATCAGCCCGTCTGGTTCTAGCTCGTGTTTTCTCCTCCTAGCCCCCCCTCCTGCCAATCTCTCCCGTGCTCCATCCTTTTCCCTTCCTCTTCCATCCGACCTCTCTTCCCCTGTTTAGGGGGCTGCACCAAGTACACGTGGCAGGTAAGGGGGATATACCTTCAAGGGGTACGGTCGAAGACGCAGAGGGCGGGTACCGAGGGTTTGTGATATACGTGTTGAATGACACGCGAGCAGGTACGAGCGAGCAGTCTTAACATGCTTCTTACTGATGATGAGGAGGATGGTGATACTGATGATGCGTATGAAGTTGATGATGCCGTCGATGATGGTGACGGCGGTGATGCTGATGATGACGATGACGATGATGCATGGCGATGGTGGTGATGATGATGCTGCTGGTGATGATGATGATGATGTTGACGATGATGATGGCAATGATGGTAATGATGGTGATTATGATGATGGTTCTGGTGATGATGACGACGATGATGATGCTGGTGCTGATGATGATGCTGATGCTGGTGCAGATGATGATGATGATGATGATGATGATGCAGATGAGCATGATGATGACGACCATGATGATGAGCATGATGATGACGACCATGATGCTGATGATGATGATGATGGCGATGTTGATGATCATTGGCGATGATGATGATGCTGATGCTGCTGCTGCTGCTGATTATGATTTTTTTTTTGAATTTTGATTTGGGGGCAATGATGACGGATGATGCTGATGATGTTGCTGCTGCTGTTGACGATGATGGTGGTTGATGATGTATGTTGATGATGATGATGATGATGATGATGATGATGATGATGATGATGATGATGATGATGATGACGATGATGATGAGATGATGATGACGATGAAGATGATGATGATGATGATGATGATGATGAGCGATGATGTGATGATGGATGATGATGAGTTGTTGATGTTGATGTTTGAATGTGGATGTTGCCGATTGTGCTGGTGGGGTTGGTGGTGGTGTTGGTGCTGGTGTGGTGGGGTGGAGGGTGACAGGAGGAGGACGGGGAGGAGGAGGAGGAGAAAGGAGCGAGGGAGGAGGAGGAGGAGGAGGAGCAGGAGGAGGAGGAGGAGGAGGTGGAGGAGGAGGAGGAGGAGGAGGATGAGAAGGAGGCTTGAGGAGGCTGGAGGAGGAGGAGGAGTATGCCGATGAGGGCAAGGAGTTAGGAGGTGGAGGAGCAGGAGTAGGAGGAGGAGGATGTCGAGGAGCCAGAACCGCTCATGGGCCAGGCCACGAGGAGAGGAAGCCGAGGGCCAGACATCCGCCTCGCGGGGCAGGCTCTCTGCTTCCGAACGCGGAGGCCCGCGGGGGCAAGGCCTCGTCGAGCAAGCCGGCCGCGTGCGCCGAGCACCCGAGCAGTCTGTTCTCGCGTCCCGGTCCGCGTCTTCCTCTCGCAGACGGTTCGACTACACGTAAGAGTGACTTTTTCCCGGAAAGGGCCTGAGCCCAGGGTTCTCTTTTAGTTGGTTTCCCCCCGGTTTTGACGGCTGTAGGGCCGGCGAATTTCTTTTGCGATAAATAACGAGGTCGCGTAGGGCCGGCGAATTAAAATTTGAGGATGTCTCGAACGAAACGCTTGATTTTCAGAATTTGTTGAGGATGTCTCGAGCGAAACGCTTGTTTTGTATTATATTTTGTGCTCTCCTGGGGACCTGAATTCAGAGGATCTCTCAGGTGAAATGCTTGTTTTCACGTGCCCAGGTTTTGAGGATGTTTCGGGCGAGACGCTTAGTTTCACGCCTCCAGGTTGCCCAGACGGGTGTCTAGCATGAGGATTTGTTGAGGATGTCTCGAACCAGAGGCTTGTTTTCACGTGTCCAAGTTGCCCAGGCGGATGTCTAGCATGAGGCGGTGTCGAGGAAGTCTCGATCGAGACGCTTGTTTGTGCGTGTCCAGGTTGTCCAGGCGGATGTCTAGCATGAGGATGTGCTGAGAACGTCTTGGGAGATCACTCGTGTTTCACGTGTCCAGGTCGCCCAGGGCACTGTCGCGATGTCGGGCACGGTTTCAATCTATTTTGCACGATACCTTAGCATTGCAGAATGCTCCCGTGGGTTCACTGGAACGTTCAGCAGGGGCGTTTCCCGTGGCGAGTCCCCTGGGCAGTCGTCGCGGTTTTTGCCGTCCCATTGGATCGTCGAGGTTAGCGAGTACCTTGGGCATCGTACCGCGGTTGCGTGCCCATGGCACGTCCTTGGCACGTTCGCCTGCGCGTCCCTCTGGGGTCGTCCGCGGGCGTCTCCTGCTTGTCCCCCTGTTGTTCTTCCGATCTCTGGGGCAGCTTACTCTGTGTCATGGCAGGTTCGAGCTTCAGACTCAGATTCCAGTTCGGTCAAGGACTCGGATGCAGGGAGGACTCGAATCCACGACGCTATAGAGCACAATCGCGGCATGGCACGTCGCAGTTCAGCACAGCGCAGCACAGCACAGCCCACGGCACGGTACATCAAGATCGATACACTCAGCATTGCAACTTCGGCACGTTCCGTGGCGCGTCCCGTGGCGAGTCCCCCTGGCGCGTCGCGCGGCGCGTCTCCTGGCACGTCCATTGGCACGTCCATTGGCACGTTCCGTAGCGCGTCCCCTCGGCACGTCCCGCGGTGCGTCTTCGTGGCACGTCCCTTGGCACGTCGCCTGGCGCGTCCCTTGGGACGTTCCGCGGCGCGTCCTCGTGGCATGTTCCCCTGTCAGTTAGCTCTGAGGCAGCTACTATGTGCTGAGGCAGCTCGAGCTTAAGATCCAGATCAGTTCGGTCAGGATTCGGATGCAAAGGAGGACTCGATCCACAACGCTATAGAGCACAATCGCGGCATGGCACATCGCAGTTCAGCACAGCTCAGCACAGCACAGCCCTCGGCACGGTACATCAAGATTGATACATTCAGCATTGCATTTGCCCGGCGCCCTATCACTGGTCGTCTTTCATTACGTTTTGCCATGCATTACATTTCGTATATTCCTTTCCGGGTTCGTTGGGTCGATTCCATGTTCTTACTTTGTTGAGGATGTCTCGATCGAAACGAGGGTTTTGCAAAATTGGAAGATGTCTCGAGCGGTGGCCTCGTGGGGGGCCAGAATTCAAAGGATGTCTCAGGCGAAATGCTTGTTTTCACGTCCCGCTCGCAGGAATTCCGAGGATGTCTCGCGCGTGCAGCGTCCCGCGCGTAGGAATTCAGATGATTTTTGACGGAGGTCTCGGAGCGATTCGCTTGTCCCAGCACGTTCAAGTAGCGCGTCCCCTTGGCACGTCCCGCGTTGCGTCCACATGGCACGTTCCATGGAACGTCGCCTGCGCATCCCTTGGAGACGTTTCGCGGCGCGTCTCCTAGCATGTCCCCCTGTCAATTAGCTCTGGGGCAGCTACTATGTGATCAGGCAGCTCGAGCTTAAGATCCAGATCAGTTCGGTCAGGACTCGATCCAGAACACCATAGAGCACAACCGCGGCGTGGCACATCGCAAGTCAGCACGGCGCAGCACAGCCCAGCCTTCGGCACTGTACATCAAGGTCGATACATTCAGCATTGCAACCTGGCATGTTCCCTGGCACGTTCCGTGGGGCGTCCTTTGGCGAGTCCCCCTGGCACGTCGCCGTCGTTTCGCGTCCCCTGGGCACATCCCGTGGCATCATCAATTGGCAGTTCCGTTGAGAGCGTACCCTTGGCACGTCCCTACGGTGCGTCCCTATGGCACGTCCCTTGGCACGTCGCTTGGCGCGTCCCTTGAGACGTTCTGCGTCGCGTCCTCCTGGCATGTTCCCCTGTCCATTAGCTCTGGGGCAGCTACTATGTGTTCAGGCAGCTCGAGCTTAAGATCCAGATCAGTTCGGTCAGGACTCGGATGCAAAGGAGGACTCGATCCACGAGGCTTTAGAGCACAGTCGCGCCATGGCACATCGCAATTCAGCACGGCGCAGCACAGCACAGCCCTCGGCAGGGTACATCAAGATCGATACACTCAGCATTGCATTTGCCCGTCACCCAATCAGGTGTCTTTGAAAACGCTGCCATGTGTTACAGTTCTACATTCCTTTCCGGGTTCGTGGGTCGATCATGTTGCTGGAGTGACCGTTGTTGCGAGCCCAATTGTGTCCCCCGATCGCTGAATGCGAAGCGGTAGCAGCCGCGTGCGCGCCTGGGTTTGGCGACCCCGCGTCCTCTTGTGTGTAGCCGATCGTCCCAGTCCGCGTCGTCCTCTCGCAGGCGATTTTTCGCGTGGGCGGCCAAGAGGGAGTGAAGACTAGGCGGGGGGGTGGATATCGTGGTGGGGACCATGATATCTCTCTAGATTCCATTGCGCCTCGTCTTATTTCAATACGTCCCCAGCCCCCCCTGGGCCGCGCACATGCCGCCGGCCATGATTTGCGCCCCCCCCCCTGTTGGACGCACCCCTCTTGGACGCCCACCAGTCCAGAACGAGCAGGAGCTCGAGGATACACGTCCAGGGGGCTATTCGGACGCACCCCTATCGAGGATCGGCGCCCTCGCCATCGTGTATTCCCGACTTGGGCCGCCAATTTTTGGTATCATCGGAAACCCCATGAAATCGGGGATCGGTAGGTTCATGCGGCGTTGGCGCGGTTCATGCGGCGTTGGCGCGCCGACGACGCCGAAGGCGTTCAAGGTTGAAATCTGCGACGCGGACGCACAGAGGGACACGGTAGCGCCACTGGACCCGACGGAAGGCAATCTTGAACGATCGGGGCCGCGATCGATCCCAGATTGAACGATCGACGCGCTGTCAAAAACCAGTGCGCGCGCCGACGCCGCGCGAACCTGCCATAGACCCCGTTGTCATCCTCGTGCACGTGCGCCTCGCCTTCTCTCCCAGCTCTGGCAGGGCCCGGCGGGGCCCCTGGCGCCCTCCGTGCCAGGGGTCGCGCGTGCTCCTGGCAGCGAGATGGTGGCCGCCATCCAGTCAGGCTAAGATTTCTCCACCTGCTTCGAGTCAGTAAACCACCACCCACCAAGCCACCCCAACCCAACCCGAAGGCTCAGATTTGCCCTCGATTTCCAGTGGGGGGGGGTCGGGAAACATAGACAAAAACACACGTGGAACCCTTCCCCCCCGACCCGAAATTCGGGTCTTCGGGTTGGGTTGGGGTGGTCTGATAGGTAGTCAGTAAAAGCGGCATGAACATAAACTTTCGACGCTCCGCGCAGATTTCTTGGATCTGCGCTGGCCCCTCCCGGCGGCGCCTCCAGCGCCGCCTCCGGCGCCGCCCCTGACGCGCTCCGCGCGCCAGGGAGGGGGGGTCCAGCGCAGATCCAAGAGATCCGCGCGGAGCGTCGGAAGTTTATGTTCATGCCGTTCTTCTTCCTCTGCTGTTTCACGACACCGCCGACTCGCCAGGCCCGTCGATGATGCATGGGGTGTACGCGCATGGCGGTTTCCTATGATCATCCGAGGCCCATTGAGCTCCGGGCACCGTCCGTCTGTCCTCTCAGGTCATCCTCGTCCAGATCATGTTCTCCAGACAGTGCCTGCTTTAAAGTGACTGCCAGGCGGAGGCGGAGGAGTTCTCCGCCTTCCCCTCCTCCTTCCTCCTTCCGTCCTTCCCTCCTCGTTCTGGCCCCAGTCCCTGCCCTCGTCGTCGTCCCCCTCCCCCTCGTTCCTCGTCTACGTTCTCCTCAGCTGTCCACGTCCTCCCCACTCCTCGTCCTCCTCCTCCTCCGCGTTCTCGTCGAAGTCCTCGTCGTTCTCGCCGTCCTCTTGCTCGATCTTTGCCCATCTCAACAGGTGCTTTTGCTCGTCTGCACCCCGGAGGGCAAGCCAGTGCCGCACCGGGACGCCACGGAGAAGCTGGCCGCTGGCCGACCAACCAAACCACTGGCAGGCCAGTCCGTAGGAGGCCCCTGGACGTGGAGGGTTTCTCCGAAGGGCTTAGGCGACCCGTCCTCCTCCTCCCGCCTCCTCCTCTTCCTCCCGCCTCCTCCTCCTCCTGTACTACATCCTCCTCATCCATCAATCCTCATATCATCAATGTCATAATCCTCACGACCCTCCGCATCCTCCTCATCATCCGCACATCCTCCTCCTCCTCCTTCCTCCTCCTCCTCTTTCTCCTCCTCCCCCTCCTCCCTCCCCCTCCTCCCTCCTCCTTCTCGCCCTCCTCCTCCTCGCCCTCCCCTCCTCGGGTCGCCTGCGGCCCCGGGGGAAACCGTCCACCTGGACGCCCACCCAGGGAGGCCCCTGATAGGCGCTGGGGAGCGCCTGCGGGTCCTTGGGAGGCCCTGGGAACCTTTTGGGGGCCTCGGGGAACCTTGGGATGTCATGGGAGGTCCTGGGTAACCTTTTGGTGGACCTCATGTGAGCATGATGCTCGCATTTCCCCAATCCGGCTTGCCTAGGGGGTTCTTAGTTGGTTGAAGGTTGGTTGCCTCGTATTCTTGCTTTCCCGTTGCCCGGAGGCTCCTCGGGTTTTTCGGGATCCCCGCCCACGGTGTCTCCGAGTGTTATGTTGCCCGTTGCCCGGAGGTTCTTCGGGTTCCTCGGGTTCTTCGGGTTCCTCGGGTTCGTCGGGTTCTTCGGGTTCGTCGGGTTCCTCGGGTTCCTCGGGTTCCTCGGGTTCTTCGGGTTACTTTGCCCGTTGCCCAGAGGTTCTTCGGGTTCCTCGGGTTCCCCGCCCCCAGAGCCTCCTGTTGTTAAGTCGCCCGTTTCCCAAGCAATGCAAATCAATGCCAAGCAATGCCAAATAATGCCTAGCGTTTCTCAAGCAATGTTAAGTAATGTCAAGCGATTCCCCAGCACTACCAAGCAATGCCAAGCAGCGCCAAGCGTTTCCCAAGCAATGCCAAGAATTGCCAAGCACTGCAAAGCAATGCCCAAGCAATGCCAAGCAATGCCAAGCAATGCCCGAGCAATGCCCGAGCAATGCCCGAGCAATGCCCAAGCAATGCCAAGCAATGCCAAGCAATGCCAAGCAATGACAAGCAATGCCCATCAATGCCAAGCAATGCAAAGCAATGCCAAGCAACGTCAATCAATGCCAAGCAATGCCAAGCAGTTTCAAGCAATGTCAAGCAATGCCAAGCAATGCCAAGGAACGCCAAGCAATGCCAAGCAATGCCAAGCAATGCTAGGCACTACGCCCATGCAACGAGAAGCTTTCCCCTCATTGGGGTCGTGCCGGTTCCATTTTTTCAGGACAGGGCTTAGGCCCAGGTTCTCTTTTAGTGTGTTTACCCCCCGGTCTGACGGCTGCAGAGCCGGCGAAATTATTTAGCGATAAGAAACGAGGTCGCGTAGGGCCAGCGAATTAGAAATTTGAGGATGTCCCTAGCGAAACGCTTGTTTTTCAGAAGTTGTTTAGGATGTCTCGAGCGAAACGCTTGTTTTGTGTTATAGATGGTCCTCTTCAGGGTGCCAGAATTCAGAGGATCTCTCAAGTGAAATGCTTGTTTTCACGTGCCCAGGTCTTGAGGATGTCTCGAGCGAGACGCTTGGTTTCACGCCTCCAGGTTGCCCAGATAGATGTCTAGCATGAGGATTTGTTGAGGATGTCTCGAACCAAAGGCTTGTTTTTCAAGTGTCCAGGTCGCCTAGGCGGATGTCTAGCATGAGGATGTGTCGAGGAAGTCTCGATCGAGACGCTTGTTTGCACGTGTCCAGGTTGCCCAGGCGGATGTCTAGCATGAGGATGTGCTGAGAACGTCTTGAGCGAAACGCGTGTTTTCACGTGTCCAGGTCGCCCAGGCACAGCACAGCCCTCGGCACGGTACATCAATATCGATACCCCTAGCATTGCAGTCTGGCATGTTGCCTGGCATGTTCCGCGAGAGGTACCCGTGGCGAGGTCCCCCTGGCACGTCGGTGCGGCCATCTTCATTTGCCTACGTTCCGTTCGAGCGTGCCCCTTGGTACGTCCGCGGTGCGTGCCCATGGCACGTCCCTGCGGTGGGCCTGGCGAGCGTCACTGGGGACGTTCGCTGGCGCGTTTCTTGGCAAGTCCCCTCTGTCCAATTAGCTCTGTGGCAGGTACTATGTGCTCAGGCAGGTTAAGATACAGATACAAGTCCGGTCAGGTGTCGGATGCAAAGATCGACTCGATCTACACAACGCTACTTTAGTGCACCGTGGTCGCGGCAGAGCACATCGACCTATTCCAGCACGCCCAGCACGCACAGCCGCAGGCACACGGTACATCAAGATTGATACACTCAATATTGCACCTTGGCACGTTCCGTGGCGCGTCCGTGGCGAGTCCCCCTGGCACGTCGCGCGGCGCGTCCCCTGGCACGTCCCGCGGCACGTCCATTGGCACGTTCCGGAGCGCGTCCCCTTGGCACGTCCCGCGGTGCGTCCCCATGGCACCTCCCCTGACACGTCGCCTGTCGCGTCCCTTGGGACGTTCCGCGGCGCGTCCTCCTGGCATGTCCCCTCGTCAATGAGCTCTTGGGCAGCTACTATGTGCTCAGGCAGCTCGAGCTTAAGATCCAGACCAGTTCGGTCAGGACTCGGATGCAAAGAGGACTCGATCCACAACGTTATATAGAGCACAGTCGCGGCATGGCACATCGCAGTTCAGCACGGCGCAGCGCAGCACAGCCCTCGGCACGGTACATCAAGATCGATGCACTCAGCATTGCAATTTGGCACGTTCCGTGGCGCGTCCTGTGGCGAGTCCCGCTGGCGCGTCCCCTGGCACGTCCCGTGGCACGTCCATTGGCACGTTCCGTAGCGCGTCCCTTTGGCAGGTCCCGCGGTGCGTTTTCATGGCACGTCCCTTGGCACGTCGCTTGGCGCGTCCCTTGGGACGTTCCGCGGCGCGTCCTCCTAATTTGCATGTCCCCCTGTCAATGAGTTCTTGGGCAGCTACTATGTGCTGAGGCAGCTCGAGCTTGAGATCCAGACCAGTCCGGTCAGGACTCGGATGCAAAGGAGGACTCGATCCACAACGCTATATAGAGCACAAGTGCGGCATGGCACATCGCTATTCAGCACGGCGCAGCACAGCACAGCCCTCGGCACGGTACATCAAGATCGATACATTCAGCATTGCAACCTGGCACGTCCCTTGGCTCGTTCCGTGGCGCGTCCGTGGCGAGTCCCGCTGGCACGTCGCGCGGTGCGTCCCTTGGCACGTCCTGCGGCACGTCCATTGGCACGTTCCGTAGCGCGTCCTTTTGGCACGTCCCGCGGTGCGTCCCCCTGGCACGTCCCCTGGCACGTCGCCTGGCGCGTCCCTTGGGACGTTCCGCGGCGCGTCCTCCTAATTCGCATGTCCCCCTGCCAATGAGTTCTTGGGCAGCTACTATGTGCTGAGGCAGCTCGAGCTTAAGATCCAGATCAGTTCGGTCAGGACTCGGATGCAAAGGAGGACTCGATCCACAACGCTATAGAGCACAATCGCGGCATGGCGCATCGCTATTCAGCACGGCGCAGCGCAGCACAGCCCTCGGCACGGTACATCAAGATCGATACATTCAGCATTGCATCTGCCCGTCTTCCAGTAAGGTGTCTTTGAAACGCCGCCATGCCTTACATTTCTATATTTCTTTCCGGGTTCGTGGGTCGATCATGTTCAGAGGCAACGGCCTCGCGCGCCTTGCCCGAACAGGCACTGGCACATGCGCCTCGCCGCATGCGACGGCGTCGGCGCTTCGCTCGCTCGTTCGCTCGCTCGTTTTCTTTCATGCAATTGAAATAGGTAACGGAAATACTTTGTCACGAATGCTGACCAAACTTCCTGATCGTTTCAAACAGGACTTGCTGGCGATGTAGCCGCGGATGTGGCCCATTTGAGACAGAGGGCCGCGTGCCCAAAAGCGGCCACTGTCGGTTTTGGACGACCTTTGCTGTTGGGCATCGTACCCATTAGTTCTGGACTGAGGGGATGTATGGTGTGAGTCGGTGTGTGGGGGAGTGGACGGGGCAGGGAAGGGGCAGGGATGGAGAAGGGGACAATTGCTGGCGGGGCGCGGCAGTATCGGGGCTCAACGCGCACGCACGCAGGCAATGCATCCAATCTGGCAGAGCAAGAACCAGACACATGGTGAGCCCAATCAGATCTTCTACGCTCGGATGCACTGCGTAATTCTTCCTCCTCCCTCCTCCCTCTCCTCCCACTCCCTCCCGTCTTCTCCCGTCTCCTCCCGTCTCCTCCTGC